CTGCCAAAAAAACAAATAGGTCTGTCTTGGAGAGGCTGAAACCAAGTCTCTCCTTGGAGGCTATGATTTTGAAGCTCTATCTCACATACTTTAGTCATGTAGCCAGGAGAGACCAGTCCTTGGAGAAGGACATCATCGTACTTGGAAGGGTGGAGGGACAGCATACGGGAGAGAGATCCTGGATGAGATGAATCGAGACTGGGACTGGGGCAATGGGGGTTGGTGTGTCAGAATTAGTGAGACTGGCTCAGGACAGAGCAGGCTTGAGAGCTCTTGTACATAGGGTCACTATGGGTCACAGGCAACTCGATGGCACGTGACAACAACAACAATCAGTGAGGGTCTGATGCCTTAATAGGTAAGGAATTGTGCCAGCTTGAAGGCAGGCAGTTTGAATTTACCAGTTTTTTAATAGGAGAAAAATGAGCATTCTGCTCTCATGTGATTTACACCCTCTTTCCAACCCAATGACATACAGCAACACTAGCAGAAGTAGTAGCATTTGGATTACAGGGTATTTTCAAATTATTCTTGAAATGTAATGAAATAGATGATCCATGTGCCACATAATGTTTGTTGTAAAGTCATTTCTAACTCATGGTTACCTCATGTGTGTGGAACTGTACTCAGTAGGGGTTCTGTGGCTGATTTTTAAGCAGTAAATTTCCCAGCCTTTCCCCCCCTGGGTATTTTTTAGTGTAATTAAGCCACCAACCTCTCAGCAGCCAAGTACATGAATCATCTGTATCATCCAGTGATTTTTTTTTATTGGGAAAACATAATGGGGGTACAAGGAGGTGAGGGGTGGGGGCAGAAGGGTGAAGATGGCAGGGATGAAAATTGCAGGGGTGCAGTTGTAGAGCTGTACCATTTGGTTGGAGGGGGAAGCAGGTGAAGGAAATGAAAAGGATCCAGCGGAGACCAGATGCTACAGGGGAATGGTAAGCATTTTCCAATGGCAATTAAACCAACTGCCTTTTTGATTTGGGAACTGGATGCCGACTCTCTGGCTTCTTCATGCTGAACAGGGGCATTGATGTGAAGGGGGAAAGGGAGGACACTTTATTGCCTCACTGGTGGTCTTGGGTTAAAGCTGCTTGCCTTCTTGTTCTGTTAGAAGATATTTTCCTGTCATTTGTTCCCCTCTGAACTGCAAAGTGTTTTCCCAGGTGGGTCCAGTGGGGATGGCTTGTTGAACCCAGAGGCATCATCTTCCTTTGCTTCCTTAGCTGGCAGTTGTATTTCCTTTTTGTCACTGGCACTGGGTTCAGGGTCACGTCTGGAGTAAAACTCAGTGTCAAGGTTACCTATAGGAAAGGGAGCAAACCTAGAGAGAACAAACTTATGAGTTACAATAGAAGGGCTTTGGGGGTGTTGCTTTCATGTTTACTTGGGGAGAGGGTGGCGGAAAGTAGCCTAGATAAAATTCTCTGGATACCCTAGGCATTTTTTTGTTTGTTTGTTTTCCCCATCCAAGGGTAGGATGGCACAGTCTGGGGACTGAGGAGCTCACCCTGAGGGCCATGGCAGCTTGCTCCGAGCCGAGGGCTGAAGACAGCCTGCCCTGGGCAGAGGGCCGTGACAGCTTGCCCAGAGCTGAGGGCCGCAGAGGGCTGTGATGGCTCACCACGGGCCAGGGTCCGAAGACAGCCTGTCCTGACCAGGGCAACACCCCCCAGGGGCTGGGTGGTACACTCCCCCTCCAATTGTCTCCACCCCAGTGTGGTCCCCTCGCCTGACCAAGGACTATGTGGCCAAGGACAGCGTCCCCAATTCCAGCACCGCCACTTTTACCCATTCCCCCGATAAGTGGTCATACTATAATTTGACATAGGTGTCACAGCCCTCCCCCTTTATAAATGGCAAAGGAAACCTGAGAGTTGTGAACAGACTTTCCCCAGGTCTAAACAGCTTTTGGCAGAAGCATTCCACTGATCAAAATAAGTGGTGCATTTAGGATGTCGGTCCTCTTGGACATGCTGCCACTGTTAAGTGTCATCAAGTAGACAACTCACAGTGACCTTCAACAATCCATTGTATGGGTGATCATCTCTGCCCTGACCAAGGAAACCCAAACCTGCAGGCGTCAGGGCGTGTGTCATCTCCCCTTCATGGGGCCGGTGGGCGTATGTCCCATCTCCCACGTGGGTGGCTGGCCGACATGCGTCCTGGTGGCACGTGTCCTCCTCTGTGTGGGCGGCCCGCGGGCATACGTCCCATTTCCCACGTGCGCCCGTCCCATCTCCCGTGTACAAGCGTCCCATCTCCCGCGTCGTGCGCAGGCAGCTTGAGGGCGCCCGTCATCTCCCGTGCGGGTGGCCATTGGCTGCCCGCTTCCCCCACTGCCACCACCTTGGCTCCAAGATTTCTCCCCAGAACAAGTCCACTTTGTGGCAGTGTGGCGGTTCCTCTGCACTAGTCTTGGGGAGGCCTGGTGCCCACCATCCATCCTGGGTGAGGGATTCCATAGGTTCCGGCTGTGGAAGCTTCATGGAACTGGGGTGGCTGTGCAGCGCATTGCGGGCTCTGCAGGAGGGGTTTGGGAGCTGTGATACTCACCCATTCATCCTTGGGTATCCTTGAATTCCTGTTGTTGCGCCTCGATCTTCACTGAAGACCAGTCATCAACTGTTTAACTGTTCAATTATCAATTAACAGAGGTCTGTAGAAGGCCACAGTGGCCCTGCTCCAACTGGTCCGCTGCTCCCGCAGCTCACCACGTTGTCTCTGCCTCTGCCTCTGCCGCCATTTTGGATCTCTCATTCAGTGATTTTTATGTACAGCATAACCCTCCTTAACAAATTAGCATTCTTAAGCACAAAATCACTCAGGAAATTAATGATGGGTCTGAGTTTTAATCCCATCTCGGGCTTTTCTGGTTCTAAAGATGATTCCCTTCCTTCTTTTCCAATTTCTCTGATTTTGTAGAGAGTAATCATGTTTATAGAGATTATTTTAATTGTGTATATGAAATAAAGGATATTGTTGTTGTAGTGTACCATAAAGTCAGAACTGACCCACAGGTGACCCTCCGGTGGGTTTTCATAGGCAGTCAATCACACAGGAGATTAGCCATCTTTCGCCCACAGAGCAGGATACATGATGATATTTTTTTGGAGAAAATGTTTGTGTCAGGATAATTATTTTTACTGTTTAATCAAAATCACAAATATATTCTTTTTGTCTGTCAGGATGATTTTTCATTTTTAGCTTATGGAATGTACCTTAGGATTTATGAGTTAAACTTTATATTCGATTACGAGTGCTTACTAACAAGATGCTAGAGAACATCTTCTGTATCTATGAAATAATATGCTAAACAGACTCAAACTCATTGCCATTGTTTTGGAGTCTGGGAATCTCATGGGAGAAAGTTGCCTATTTTTCTCCTCTGGAGCAGCTGGTGGATTCTAACCACCAGAGAGAGTCCTTTGGGTTAGCAGTGCAATTCCTTGTAGAGTGTACTGCAGAGCTTCTTAAGAAATGATAGGTTGGCTTTGAAAAGATGCCTCTGGTACTTAAGCATTCAGCTGGAGATTCTGTCCTTCAAAGATATAACCCTTGAAATCTACGCATTTATTCCAACTGGGTTGTCATTGTGTTGTTGTTTTTGTTTTAAAATTTCCTTCATGGTCTACAACTTTTTAATGTCTTCAGTGGTAGCATGCTTTCATCCATTGAGTGTTTTTGCTTTTTGAAAATAGACAAGTTGATTTTGAAACCATTATATGAAGGTGAAAAAATACTGTAGATTGTTTTGTTTTGTTTAAAAAAACAACAACAACAACCAAAAAACAGGTATGATGAAGAGTTCCAGTAAGTAAAGTGGCTATTTTTTCCCAAGCTAATGGCACCTAATAACAACAGTAGGGCCTTTGGTTGCCTGCCACCATAGTTCTTAAGAAGAGGGTCATCTAATGAAAAGGACTGAAGAGCAACTCCTTTGAATATGTGATCTAAATTTTGAATAATAGGCTCAAATATGCTTTTTCCAGAATGGATTCTTTTGTACATATAAAGCAAATTTTTTGAACATAATTTAAAAATTTCAGAGACGTCACTAGCTAGTCTCTTTTATAACTGCAGATTATCATAGTCTGTATTTCTTGAAAAAAAAAAAAAGAGGATTTATTTCCTGATTACATTTGACTCTTAGGTACTTGCACTAGGCTATTAAATATTTAAAATATGTTTTATTAACAAAAATGTGTTGTTTTTGTTATGTACCATTGTCACTTGCAACTCACTGACCCTATGTCCAACAGCTCTGAACCCTGCTCTATCTTGAGCCAATTTAATAGTCTCTGACACACTTACCCCCATTACCCCAGTCACTGAGTCAGTTCCTCTATAGAAATGTAAACTTTTTTGTAATTGTACTTGATCTCTTTCATTACTGATGAGGTATTTTCTGATTACTGCTTGCACAAAATATTGTGGAAAATATTGTTAATAAGTGTGGGGATCTTTGAAGATAACATATAAACAAAATGAGAAGCGATTATTTTTAATTTACTTGTTTTTTGATGTGTGTTGAAAAGCAATGTTCTTGGAAGTACCAAAACAATCTTTCTATTATTATAAGGTTTAATCTAACTAACTTTGCATTCCATACATCAATTCTTTGATCTGATCTTTGGTATTCACATGATCATATTTCATATTATCTGTTACTGATATATCTCATATTATCTGTTATTGATATATCTAATTTTACAGGATTGTGTAGAATTTTCTTTAAAACCAGTAAGTTAGCATTAATAAACCACTTTAACTAATGTGTTTATGCCTCGAGTGTCCAATTGCCTGAAAAAGATTTCTTCTAGTGTAATGAGTAGTATACTATGTCTGAATTAAGATAGGTTACTACCTAGCATAATTCTGTGTGATCTATACCTTTTGGGATCATGTAAGACTGGAAACATGGCACTTAATAACTATGAATGTCAGATAAATTATCAAGAAAATTAATAGCTTTTTTCTTTGTTTTCTGTTTTCAGTTCTCTTACAGCTCGCTAGTGATGCTTTACCAAATGACATGACCTTGGCTCTCGCTTACCTGCTTGCTTTACCCCAGGTGAGTTTACCCTTACTAGAGAAGAAAAACTGCATTAAAAAAAGCTCTGTACTGGAGATTTTCATCACTGAAATTGTTTATGTTTTCATTCTTTTCTGATTGTTGCTAGGTGCCAAAAGAATCTTGGTCAGGGTCCATGGAGAGAATTCTAGTACTAGCTTAAATGCTAGTCATTTTAAATCCAGTTTACCATGTGTAGAAATGGATTCATAATGACTTAACTCTTTTATTGTAGGCACATATGTTGATATGATGGAAATTTTGAACCCAAATTCTGAGTAGTGACAAGAAATGTGATAATTTCTTACAAGTTTGTTCATTTCCTTTCAGTTAAGTTAATTCTGTTGTGTTCTCTCCTAGGTGTTAGATGCTAACAAGTGTTTTGAAAAGCAGTCCCATTCTGCTTTATCTCTCCAATTGGCCGCGTATTACTACAGCCTACAGATCTATGCCCGTTTGGCACCATGCTTCAAGGACAAGTGCCATCCTCTTTACAGGGTGAGTTCTCATCGTTCCCACTTGATTAATGAACAAAGCTTTAACTAAGCAAAACATGTGTTTGTGCCTTGGAGGAAGTGATTTACTTTTTCTACTCATGTATCAACCCTTCCTTCTATAAGATGTGTTCTGAAGAGGAGAGCTCTGGTGGTCTAGTCCAGAAGTTGGACTGTTAATGCAAGGGCAGTGCCTCTCTGAAAGTTTAATCTACAAGTAAACCTGAGAAGCAAGATTGAAAGTCTCCTCTCATGTAATTTAAGGCATTGGAAGCCCAACAAAGGTTCAGCTATGAGATTGTTTCACCTCAGCAGCAATGTGATGGTGTTTTTTTTTTAAAAACTTATGTAAGAGTAGGAGCTCTGGTGACTTAGTGGTAAGGAATTGCACTGGCATCCCAAAGGCACATGATTTGAATATAACGGCTGTTGTGTGGAAGAGAAAATGGCAGTCCCCTTCTCTGTGATTTACAGCATCTGAAAACTCTCCAGAAGATCAGCTATGAGTTAGTTCTTACCTATAGGAACCCACCAGCAAAATCAGGATTGCTAAAACTTCTATTTCTGGTGTCCTAGTTAATAGAGTTGTACTGCTAACCCACAGGGTGTACATCTCTGATGATTTGAATCTACCAGAAACTCCATAGGAACACCCATTGTAATTTATGGCCTCAGAAATCCATATTGGAGGGTTGAATCAACTTGATGGCAGCGAATTTGATTTTTTTAAGTGAGAAGTCATTTTCTATAGTGGTTGTATGTTTTTAAAGTTAATTGTATCAAATAACAGGAAGATCATCCATGCTGTACCGATTTCAACAGGGCTTCCAAGCCGAGGACACACTTAACAGGAATGGTGGTTTTCCTCTGAAATAAGTAGCCATTGAAAATCGTAGGAATAACAGTAGAATATTACCTGATATTGTACTGGAAGACGAGTCTTTCAGGCTGAATGGTTATAAAAACATAACCTGGAACACAGTGGCTGCAGCAGTGGCCTCTGGCACATCAGCACCATGAAGATGGCCCAGGGAAGTCTTTGGTTCTGCTTTACAGAGGATCTTTATGAGTTGGAACCAGATTTATGGCACCTAACAATAACAATGAATAAATTGTTAAAATTTCAAAAGGCAGCTTGGGGCAACAAAGCAAGATACTGTAATGAAATGTGCAGAGAGCTAGATTCAGAAAATCGAAAGTGCCAGACTCGCTCAGTGTTTCTTAAGCAGAAGGAGTTGAAAAACAAATTCAAGCCACGGGTGGCAATACTTAAAGATAGTGTGAGAGAATGTTGAATGATCCAGGAAGTATCAAAAGAAGATGGAAGGAATACACAAAGTCACAGTATCAGAAGGAATTGGCTGACATAGAGGAATTTCATGAAATAACATATGAGCAAGAGCCTATAGTGATGAAGGAGGAAGTTCAAGTTGCTATGAAGGAATGGGAGAGGAACAAGGCTCCAGGAGTTGACAGCATACCAATTGATTTATTTCAACAAACAGACACTGCCCTGGGTGTGCTCACTAAGTTGTGCCAGAAAATCTGGAGGACAGCCAGCTGGCCAACTGACTGGAAGAGATCGATATTTGTTCCCATTCCAAAGAAAGGTGACCCAACAGTGTGCGGAAATTATTGAACAATATCATTGATAACACATGCAAGCAAGGTTCTGCTGAAAATTATCCAAAAACGTTTGGAGCCCTATGTCAACAGAGAACTGCCAGATGTGCAGGCTGTATTTAGAAGAGGTCGCGGTACTAGGGATGTTATAGCTAATGGTAGATGGATCTTGACCGAAAGCAGAGAATACCAGAAGAATGTCTATCTGTGCTTCTTTGATTATGAAAAGGCTTTTGACTGTGTGAATCACAACAAGCTATGGCTGACTGAGAAGAATGGGAATCCCAGAACATTTGATCGTGCTAATGCGAAACCTATACTTGGACCAAGAGGCAGTCGTCAGAACAGAGCAGGGAGACACTGGATGGTTCAAAATCAAGAAACAGATCTGTCAGGGATGTATTTTGTCTCCATACCTTTTCAATTTGTATGCAGAACAGATCATCCGAGATGCTGGCTGTATGAGGAGGAATGTGGCTTAATGAGGAGGGATGAGGAGGATTGGTGGAAGAATCATCAACAATCTGTGTTATGCAGATGACACAACCATGCTCACTGAAAATGAGGAGGACCTGAAGCACCTGCTGCAGAAGGTCAAGGACTGCAGTCTTCAATATGGATTGAAGCTTAATATCAAGAAAACAAAGATTCTCACCACTGGGCCAATTGGCAGCATCAGTATGGATGGTGAAGAGATTGAGATAGTTAACAGTTTTTGTTTACTTGGTTCCACAGTCAGCACTCTTTGGTAACAGCAGCCAGGAAATCAGGAGACGAGTTGTATTGGGAAAGTCAGCTGTGAGGAACCTCTTAAGAGTACCGAAGTGCAACGACATCAGGCTGGAGACTAAGGTGCGCCTAGCCAGGCTATAGTCTTTGCAGTTCCGTGCTATGCATTGGAGAGTTGGACAGTGAATAGGGATGCTAGAAAGAGAATTGATGCCTTTGAGTTGTGGTGCTGGCAAAGAGTATTGAATATACCATGGACTGCTAGAACAAACAGATTTGTCCTGGAGAGGGTGAAGCCAGAATGTTCCCTGGAGTTAAGGATTCTGAAGCTTCGTCTGACATACTTTGCACATGTTGCAAGGAGGGACTGATCCTTGGAGAGGGACATCATGTTTGGGAGAGTGGAGGGACGGCGCAGGAGAGGAAGACCCTCGATGAGATGGATCGATTCTGTGAGTGGAGTGGCGGGAATGAATGTGTTTGAGACAGCGTGTTCGGCACAGGATAGAATGTTTAGTGCTCATGTACATAGGGTCGCTATGAGTCGTAAACGACTTGATGGCATATAACAACAAACAACAATGACAATGGCTCACGAACACACGGGTCTTTTCATGGGTGTGTTTGTCACTTTAAATGGCTTCAATGAAGCATCTGTTCATGTTCTTTTCCCACATTTAAAATCGTCTTTTTGTTATTGAGGTGTTGCATTTTCTATAAATGGTAGTGATTAAACCCTTGTCATATATGTCATTGCTAAAAAAATTTTCCTGCTTGGGAGATTTTTGTTTTACATTTTTGGTGAAATCTTTTGATGAGTGTAAATATTTCATTTTTAGGAAATTTTATTTATCTAATTTATCTTCTGCTGTTTATATATTTTAAATTAGATTTGACAGTCTATTTATACTATAAGTTAGAACATTTAGCTTTCTTCTTTGGGGTTTTTTCCCTTTAAACTTTATAATTTTAGGCTTAGCATTTGGCTCTTTGGGCCATTTTGAGTTTGTTTTTGTGGATGTTGTGAAGTCTGAATCTTGTTAAATTTTTCTTCAAATGAGTCTTTTTCCTCCCAGCACCATATACTTAAATAGGTTCTTTATTCTCCTTTTCCTGGACCGTGACCCCTTTTCAAAGATTAACTATATAGCTGGATGGATTTATTTGTGGGTTTTCAATTCTATTCCACTGATATTTGTGTCTCTTGTGCCTTACCAAGACATTTTGAATCCCATGACTAGTAGTTTCTGAGGTGAAAAGTATGAGGTCCATTACTATGTTCCTCTTCTTCAGTGAAGCTTTAGCTTTCTAGGGCCTCTTTCCTTTCTGTATAAAGTTGGAGATTTTTTTTTTTTTCTGTTTTGTTAAAGAATCTTGTTGGAAATTGTTGTGGGCTTATCTAAATAGGGCACTGGTGATATAATATTCACATTTTTATAATCATTAATATTCCAATCCAAGAATATGGTATGTTCTTCCATTTACATAAATCACTTTTGGATTTTTACAGTAGTGTTTCATGGTTTTCTTTGTGCGTGTTTGTTGGTGTTTTGTATTGTTGAGTCAACACCAACCCATAGCTGACCCTCCAGGGGGTTTTCAGAGGCATTTAATCTCACTATCTCACTGGAAGACACTGCCCGTTCTTCTTCCACAGAGGAGCTGTTGGTCTTGAACTGCGGGCTTTCAGTATAGCAGCGCAGCTTTTTACATTTGTGTACTGTTGAGTCAGAACTGACCCATGGTTGACCAACTCTTCAGCAGGTTCCCAGAGGCAGTTAATTGCATGGGAGATTGCCCTGCCTTCACTCATGGAGCAGCTTGTGGATTTGAAACGTAAACCTTTGGAATTGCAGCCTAACTTTCTACCACTAGGCCACCAGAGCTCTTTAGAACCCTAGTTAAAATAGTTTTTAATTATCTTACTCTTTGAGGCTATCCTTTTGACGTTCTATTATAAATGGTATTGCTTTCCTGGTTCCTTTTTGGAGTTTTCTTTGGTAGGGCAAAGCAGTCTAACTAACTTTTGCACATTGATCTTTTAACTTGTAACTTTATTGACCTTTTTTAGTAGTTCCAGTAACTATCCTGTGTAGTCTCTTGGATTTCTGGTTATATATAATCATTTTGTCTGTGAGTAGGACTGTCTTTCTTGCTTATTTAAAAACCAGAAAACCAAACCCATTACTGTCAAGTTGATTCTGGCTCATAATAACCTCTGTCAGTTTTCCAAGGTTGTTAATCTTAATGGGAGTAGACAGCCTGTGTGTCTTCCTCAAAGAGGCTGATGGTTTGCACTACTGGCATTTCAGTTAGCAGATCAACAGTCTACTATGCTGTTTCTCTTTCTTTCCTGATCGTTCCATCTAGAACTTCTTAGACAATACTGAGTTAAGAGAAATGCTAGGGATATTCTACTCTTGTTCCCATTCTCAGGGAGAATTACTTTCAGTCTGTCTGCATTGAGAATGAAGATGCCTGTTGGGTTTTTATATATTCCCTTAATTATCTTGAGGATTTTCACTTCTAATTCTTGTTTGCTGAGATTTTTTATTAAGAAAGAAGTTGAGTTTATGGTTTTTCTTGTTTTTGTTGTTTTCCTCCAATTGATAAGAGCATGTCATTCCTTGCCTTTTTTTGTTTATATAGTTA